CCTAGGAAGTACTGCATATAGTAACTGAATTGCCCCCATGGGAGTAGAAGAATAAATAGAAAGTGTGAGGTTTTTTTCGATATCGCTTATATGTTTTCAGCTGGTTTTATATGGATGGAAAAAACACTTTTTCCAGGAGTCCAGAGAGCACCTTAATTTTCTTCGCGTGAATGGTAACCAGTGTGAGGAAAATAACTGGGTGAAACTGAAGATCTCCTTCTATAAATTGCAGGCAAAACAGAAGCTTAGCAGTAATTAGTATCTTCCCCTTCCTGTGTGGTTTGGTTTTCATTCCCCTACCAAGTGGTGCTAACACAACATGCCTGCTTGAGTCATAGCCAGAAAGTAGGGGAGGGGAAGGACATGGGATAAAAACCAAGTATGAAAGGATATCTCCAGCTGAACCAAATTCAGGCCCAGGTGTTGAAACGTAGATCAAAAGTTTGAAATACTCATTTTAGCAGCTATGAGATGTATGGGTGGTTACGGTGCTGTTTAGTTGAATTAGATTTGGTTTTAATCTGCCACACTCCTAGTCAAAGTTTGAGCCTAGATATCACTCTTTCTGTTGTATCTTGAGAGCACTTCCAGTAGCGTAAAGAGCTATAGGGCAAAGCCTGTTACTGTAGTTTCTATCTTTGGCATTGCATATTTGCTAATCCACTGCTACGAGCATTAGTTTCTAAGGTATTATCTGAAATGGATTTGTGAAATCGTAGATGGAGTGTCAGTGAATGAAACGGAATAATTTTCCTTGTAGGAAATTCAAGCTTAGTAGTAGAGTAGTTATTAGAAATGGGTTGACTGTTCAGCCAAAAGGCTTGGATACTTGCAATGAAAAAAAGGAAGGAAAGTCATCATAAATTTCATGGTTATATTTTGTAAATTCTTGCACCCTTAGATTTTGGTGTTTTAGGAGTGGACACTAAGAAAAACAACTGCAGCATGTCAACTATTTTCTGGCAACTGGCCTTACAGAAGAAGGGCACCTTAAAAATGGGGGTGAGAATGTATTTTTATGTTTCAGCATGGGAAGAGTCAAATTTCAGAAGTGCAAGTGCATTCAGTTTGTGCCTGTTGTTGCTATTCATCTTGCTCTTGAGCACCACTGGAAGAGTCTGGCCCCATCCCCTTGACACCCTCCCTTCAGATACTTAAATGCATTGATCAGATCCCTTCTCTGTCTTCTCCAGACTGAGCAGGCCCAGCTCTCTCAGCCTTTCCTCATATGAGAGATGCTCCAGTCTGTTCATCATCTTAGCAGCCCTTCATTGGACTCACATCAGTGTATGTCCATGTCCCCTTGTACTGGGAAGCCCATTGCTGGACTCAGCACCCCAGAGGCAGCCTCACCGGGGCTGAGTAGAGGGGAGAACCGTCTTCCTAAGCCTGCTGGCAGTGCTTTTCCTAATGCAGGCCAGGAGCTGGTGGCCTTCTCTGCAGCAAGGCTTATGCTGGCTCAAGGCTTATGCTTGTCCACCAGGACCCCCAGGTCCTTCTCTGCAAGCTGCTCTCCAGGTGGTCATCTGCCTTTTGTGTGTGCTTTAGGAGATTACAAGGCTCTTACAATGTACCTGGCTAACGCTATCTGTATTTTACACTTTCCTATTATGAAATAGGAGGAAGGACAGGATAAGCCTTTATTTTCAATGTCTCATCATTATCTGATATCTGTGACTTTAAAAATCTGAAAGTGAATTTAAATTTGTATTCATTTAGCAATATTTCTTCAAGTTGCCAATAAAAAGCTCTAATTAAGTTCATGCTCTTATTACTGTGAAGAGATTAATGAACTTGAGCACTGAAACACAAAAATAGTTAAATCTACTTTAAACTAAGCTTGTAAGCTCTTTGAGGCATGAACAGTATTTGTATCATGTATAGAAGGGCTGGGTTTGGCATAAGCCTAGTGCAATACAGTCTGCCAAGAGCACAGAAAATAACAGAATCAGCAATAAATTTATCTTTTGTGCATCTGAAAGCATGTGATGGTATTATAAAAAATATTCGCTATAGCAAATTTGGTTCTTTTAATGAATAATCACGTATGCCTCCATATTTCCCCCAGGCAAGATTTGCTCCACTTCATAATTACTAAAATACCTGGAAAAAAGCCTTCTAAAGGCCAAGAATTATATCTGTAATGGGTGGTGGTGATTATGGGTATGCCTATCGGGTATATTTTGGACAGACACGTGCTTGCTTCTCCCCTACTTTTGCTATGTTTAAAGTGACATTAAGCTGGTGCTGACAGGTCGCACTTGTTGGCATAGATGTGACACAGCAGGGGCTCAGTCACGTGGCTCTTCGCCATTTCAGAGTGCAGGCAGGAGCGAACGCGGGTCAGCCTGGAATACAACGTATAGAAATACCGTATGTGCCTGAATACGTTGTTAGTGCCCCTTTGGCCTGATTCTGCATCAGAGGAAGTGTCTTGAGCGAAAACATCCTGATGGCAGTTTCAGTCCGCATCCAACCTTTTGCCGCAGCCAACAAAAGCATTAAGGAGGTCAGCTGAGAAGGGAATCTCTGCTAATACAAATGCAAAATAAGGAGATTTAAAGAGAATGAAAATAAACTCAGAGTTAAAAATTGATTTGCTGACATTAAGATAGTTCTGGAACAGTATTCCTACCTGTAAAGCAGCGGGCAGAGAGGAAGTATAACACACAAATCTTAGCAGAGCCAAGCATATCTTTTAATTACAAAAGAGTCATCTTTGTCTGTATAGTATATTTAATGACTTCTGTCAGTAGGTCAGTTTCTATTTTGAGAAAACTTCCAGTATAAATCTTCAGAGATCTTACCTCTATGCCTACATGAACACGGTGGTGACCTTGTCCATTCTCTCACTCGTGAAGCATGCTTCTCACAGCACACCAACGGTGAGCTTTTAGGCAAGTCTAGCCAAAATACAGAGCAAGATCTAGCTAGGCAAAAAAGATATGGATTGTCTTTATGGCTGTTTCTCTTTTTGAGGCGGTCAAAAGCCAAATCAGAAGAACAATAACCCTGTATTTTTATTTGTCCTGCTTAGCTCTTTGAAAGACAGAGATGAAGATCTGATGCTTGATTCCACAGTCAGTTCTCTCAGTTGCTTGTCTCTGCCTCCATGCTACCTTATCAGCTGTCCTGCTGTATGTGCATGCAAGGGAGCATGATAAACAGGATCCTGAGATTGCAGCGATTTAAGAAACCCTTTTTTTTTTTTTTTTTGACTCAGTTCTCTGGTAGCATTCACTACACAGCCCCCCACAGTAGAGAAAAAGCTGGAATAGTGAAACGGGAAAGAGCTGCTTTACTTGGCACTACCACTGAGAAAAACACCATCACATAAACGCCACTATTAGTAAGTGAGGGCCCTGCATAGAGGATGTGATAATGATTTCTTGATACAGAAGTAATCTTCCTGCGTAATCTTAAAATAGCCTTATCCAGCCCTTCTCATGTGAAGTTGAGATTGACAAAGCGAAAACACAAGGTCTTCTTCCATCTGATTTTCAGACCTGGTAATCAAGTTCTGGCATTTACCTTGCCAAGTGAGAGAATAAATTCATAAAGTCTTGTTTTATTTATTACTGGCATGCATGGTCGTCTAGTTTACATCATGGAATAAGGTTACTGTGACAAGGTCATTCTAAGGAATTGTATTTCTTGCCTGTCCCAAGGTGGTAGATTGTGATAAAAGGATCCTCAGTGATTCAATGTCAATTCATTGTCTGCATATTCAGAGGCGATAAAATAAACTACCATGAGTTTGTTGAAACTAGAAACATTTTGACAATGGAACTTAAAACAATTTTAAACCCACTTGATTTGGGTTTCTGCACGAACTACAGATAATACAGGTTTGTCAAAATATTCACCCTGGCTTGTGATCCTTCCAAGTGAGTCTGTGCTGTCAGCTCTTTTCTCAGATTTATTGTGGGGATTGATGCATGCTTACTGTGTTCAGGTTGTATGACTAATGGTCCTTTTGGTTTTACCTGAGCTCTCTTATACAGTGATCTGTCAACACCATCCTTTACCTATCTCTCTTCTGAATTTCACTAAAAAAATTACTTTTCTTGAGTGAGAGATCACAGCTCTTTGTAGTGATAAGCTCACCAGATGTAAATTGAGTTGGTATATTAAACTGCTTTGCTGTTATCAAGAATACAAAGGTACTATTGTGAAAGATACAAAGATAAAATGCACATCTCAAGTCGTAAACCTGTCGTGATACTGGGACTCCTCCTTGGACTTGTTTTTTTTCTCAAGTTATCCATCTGCATCAAATGTATTCAAACACTCCAAATGTCTTAGCAACTTCAGATGGGCACTGAAAAACAAAACAAACAAAAAAAAAACCTCACACAACAAATTTCAGATTTTTTCCTCCCTATGTGGAATTTCCACCTGCCTGCATCCAGGTTGGCAGAAATCAGCCGTGGATCAGAGCCGACTGTCAAAATCAACGCGTGTTAATAGTAGAGGTTGTAGAGCCTGAGTCCTGCAAGCCTGTGTGGAATTAAGGCTTTGTGGCTTAAGTGACTTCTTTTTAAAAGGTGACTTCAAAAATGTGCCATGGCTCATTTTGAGGCTCTTATATTTGCACTTAGAAATGTACTTGAAATTGTCAGCGTAGGGCTTGAAAATGGTTCCCATAGGGAATGTCGTTATGAATCACTGAAAAGTAAAGGAGTGAAACTGTGTAAGGTGTCAATGACAGCTGTGATTCATAGCTTCTGATGAAAGTAGTGAAGGACAGTTTTTGTGCAACTGTATACAGGCAGCATCTTTGCTATTTGTACAAAATACATTCCTAAAAACAATTTGCAGGCAGGGTTTAAGCTCTAAAGTGAATCAGAAGAGGGTCAGTTCTGAGGTTATTTTAATTATCCAAGGAGATGGGGTTTTTGTTTGTGAGTTGTTATTTTGCTCTTGTTCTGAGATTTTCTTTTTCTCCTTCAAAGCTTAATCCTTATGTTTCTGTAAATGTGACCCTTTTTTCTATCTGTTATTTTTCAGGGAAGTACTGTATTAGCTGCCTGTTGTCATCTTGGAATAGAAGCTGAGAAGCAGAAAACATGTTGGAAACAATTGGTAATATTTTTTAATATTTATCAGTCTATTTTTGTGAAAAAATTAAGTGTGCATGATAGATTTAGGACATTGCTGTGCACAGCTGAAATTCATTCTGTCAAAAATAGCTACTGCGCTTAGAAATACATGATGTATTTTATTTTTGTATTTTATATTGAAAAACACAAAGATGTACCATCATTTGTTTAGTGTATTTAATATATAGCCTGTTGCCTTGATTTCATTTATTTAATTTTTAATAGAATGAAAACAGTTTGTATGAAGAAGACAATTTTTTTTTCCCCTCAGGATACCTCTGCCACTTCTTATTTACAGTTGCCTATAGCCACAATTCCTGCAACTGAATTTTAATGAAGGTTCCTTCACATTTGTAGCCCATTTCTTAATGGACAAGAATGTAATTTCCTTTGGCTTCAGTTTTGTGCTTTGCCTGTGACTTGCTGATTAATTCAGACGTGTTTGGGCTGGGATTTTTGTTCGGATCTGAACCTTTCAAGTTCTCTGTAGTTTGAGCAAAAGAGGGTGATACATTAAACTCCGTTACCTGCTTGTATGTGAGCGTTTCCAAACTGCTGCTAACTGGATACGAATATCACTACAGACACACATCGGGCCCTCCAGGCCGTGGAGCGCTTACAGGCAAAGCTTCGGGATCGAGGTGACGTTGCAAATGAGGAAAAGCTGAGCTTACTGAAATCAGTGCTGCAGAGTCCTCTCTTTAACCAGATTCTCAACCTTCAGACTTCCGTTCAGCAGCTGAGAGATCAGGTAGGAAAATGGCATCCCAGACGCAAGAGGAAAAATGATAAAAGCTGCAAAATATATGTCTCTCTTTACATGTTGAGTAGTGAAATTAAATAGCCTAAATTGGAGGGGTGATCCAAAGCTTCAGGGAGCCGAGGCAAAAATATTCCTTGACTTTGGTGGGATTTGCTGAAGCCCATAGTGTGTGTCTTTATGCATTTTTTTATGTACTCTTACTTATTGTTGTATGCAGTACGGAAGTGGCAATGTTGGGTATAGAGTTAACATATGACTATTTTTGCCCTTCAGAAAGAAGGAATGGACATATTTCAGATTCTATCTTAAGACTTTTCCACTAAGAACCTTTTACTGCTCTTCTGCATCTTACCCTTCTAAAAACGAGAATATACAAGGAAAGTTGTTCCTGTAACGTGGACTTTATAGGGAAATGAGAATTGTTTTTGTTTTGTTTCGTTTTTTAAATAAATAAGTGATTAAAGACAAGCAAGAGCTCCTACTGGGAGCACTATATCCCTTCTCTTGCTTGGGATATAGAGTATTACTTTTCTGCGTGTCCTCAAAGAGACTAAGAAAACGAGTATCTTTGTTTTAAAGATTCAGTTATTGCTGTTATTTTATTTTCTTGTCATCAGAGTAAGAACATGAATATAAAAAGTAGTTCAGCAATTGAATTAGGACTAGACCGTGCATCTGACTCTGCAAACAGCTCTTGCAAGATGGGTAGCGCCGTGTCTGGTATGCCGAAGTGGGAGGAAGCAGCCCCTGCAGTCTGACCTTGCCATCCACCTGGAGTTGCATCTGGTCTTTGACAGAACTGCCACTGGTGAAAAGTCCTGGCATTCTTAAGGCTATTACAGCAGAAAACTGCAATCTGGCTCTTTGTTGTTTTATGCTGATCATCTTGATGCTATTTTACACAGGCACACTGAAAAGTACACTGAATGAGTGTTTACAGTTCCATACGTTACCCTATTTTTCAAATTTTGAATGTTTGGTATGTGGAGACTAGGTTACTTGAAGTGATTGGAGTGATTAAAAAATTCTAGGGAAAAAGCTGTTTTTTGAAGTTCATTGTACTACGTGAGAAAGAGAGTCTAAAGCTGACCTCCAAAATTTACAGTGAATTATGTGGTTTATTGTTCTGGGAACACGTCCTCAGAAGTGAAGGTGTGCCTGAAGCTTTACCAAGAACTTTCTGAAAATGCAAATTCAGTTCTCAGTACTAGACATTAACTGTGAAGTTAAAGGATGCTTCTCTCCTTAAAAACTAAGTAAACTGAACTAGTAAAATGAAGCAACTACACTGATAGCAGAGACAGGTAATTTGAAAAAGCAGATCAAAAGTTCACCTGTCCTGTCCATTCATCAACTGTCCTGTCCATTCATGTTTATCTGTGCAGTAACTTTAGGGATCTGTGCTTGTTGGATGATATATATTCAGTCTGGCTACCGTAGGAAATATTTGCATGTGAATTTCCTCATGTGAATTTCCTTCTTGATAAGTGCTAATATAAACACTTGCACATGCAAATCTATGTATTCTGCTGTTAGATTTGGGTCAGCCCTTTAGTAAGGAGCCCATAGCATCTCTGTAGAACCATTTCTTCCCTGGAATTTAGACTACAACATGAGATTTTCTGTCTCCCCTTTGCTTTACATGAGTGTTTATAAAGCACACTATTGAAACAGGACAAGGAAGAAAGCAAGAAAATAGGCAGGAAATAAGAAAATAGGTTAAAGAAATTAAATTTTTTTGCATTTTCAGAGGCTCAGTTTTGTTCAAGGCCACTCTTTAGTTTTCTCTTTTTGGTTGGTTTGTAAGCATTGTGCTTTTGAAACTCTTAAATTAGTGGTTGGTGAAAATTGTAAGGCACGTGGATGGTGATCCAGCTTTTTGGCCAAGCTCCGTCAAACTGAGGAAGGAGGCAGATTGTTTCCCAAGCGTTTAGAGCTGCAGCTCTGTTTGGGTCATGATGTCAAACGGTGCTGAACTGTGCAGTGGGTAGGCATTACGGGGTAATACTCAATGAAGGCTAAGGCAGCCAAATTTATTTTGACATTTCACAGTGAGTTGGACTGAAAGTTGTAGTGAGGTCTCTTTCTTCTCAGAGTTAAGTGTAAGTGACGGTTTAATAAGCTTTTCAGTAGTTTTTAATTGTTTGTGAGTTTTTAAAGAGCAATAAGACTCTTGCAAGCTCAGGAGAGGGCCATCTTTTAGGGAAGAATTGACTGGAAGAGAAGATAGGAGCAGAGGAGCAATAGTTACAATTTATTTCTAAGTCAAACAGATTTGTTCCAGGCATCAAAACAGAAGTAGGTCACTAAATGAGATGTGCTTGTGGGTTTGTAGCGGCCCTATCAATAAATCTGAGGGCAGGAGATGCCATGTGGAGAGGAGCCATATATAGACAGCATAGAGATGATAGCAAGAACTACATCTTCTGTTTATGCAACGAGTCTGGAAAATCAGCTGAGAAATCTTGTAATTGTCTGCTGTCTTTTCCTAGCACAAAGCAGGATGTAAGTGTCTAGTTTTCACATACAAATAACTGTTTGCAGTCTTGTGACAAACAGTGCCTTATTTTAGGTTCTAAAATACTAGACTGCCTGTTTTTTTTTTTTCCTACAGATAAGTGATCTTTTAAGCACCAAATGAAGATCTGAGAAAGACTGTATTTCTCCATAAATGGTGGTGTTTTGGCATGTGCTCTCCAGTTTCCTTAAAGCTTCTGTGGGTTGACTGGCAATTGATCCCTTTCATTGTTGGTGTGTGCTTACCAGTTGGAACCTCCTGAGTTTGCATTTCTGTTATGCACAGTGGTGAGGCCCTACTGGTATGTTGCTTCATCTGAACGTTGATGAGGCATGCTGACTTTTCAGTTGATGCTTTGGTGCCTATTTATAGATGCTTTAAAGACTTTTTCTGAAATAAGCGAACAGGATTTATTTGCGCTGCAGTCTGCCGTTGCAAAGTTAAGAATTTGAGTAGGAAAAGTCTAGTTCATGAACGTATTAAATGGGTGATTTTTTTGAGAATTACTATCGTGACTTTACCAGTCACTTGAACTGAGGAGCACCAAAGTAACCAAATATTTTGTCTCCCTCTTAATATCCTTATTCGTCAATAAATGTTTGTTTTCTGATGCTGAAAGGAGTAAGCTCAGTGTTTGAAGGTAAGAGAGTGACAGAAAGTAAAAATAGAAATTATGATATTTTGAACCTTTTAAATATCTAATTAATGTTTTTTTTCCCAGACCAAATATAGCAAACAAAGTAATATTTAGGCGGGAGTGGCAATCCTTCTCTGTGTCTTATTCCCTTTCCTTTTTGTCTCTCCCTTGTCCTCCTCCTCCTCCCTCCTCCGCTCAGCTCAGGGCTCTACCAAAACAAAAAAATCCTTTCCTTGGCTGGGCTACATTCCTCAGATTTTTTTCCTTGCAAGTTTGACCCTAGTTTTTTCTACACAATGCAGGAATGGAAAAGCACCCTCCCTGCAGTGCAGCTACATGCTGGATTACACGTGATAGCTGGGTACTCAGCACTGCAAAGCAAATTTAGGAAAGACATGAAATGGAGAAACTATAGCTTTCAGATTGTCTGCGAACAGTCCTGTAGCTCAGTGACTTGCACAAATAAGTAAGATCCTTTCGTTATTATTTTGAATGCCTTTCTACAAGAACATTATCTGTTCTGTCATTAATAAAGTAAATAAAATATTTCACATGCTTATTTAAAAAAAAAAAAAAAAGCTAATTTGGGATCTGCTTTGTAGACCCAGGGACGGAGCCTGTTCTCCGAGCAGTGAAGGCGCAGTTACCAGAAACACTTTGGAAGAGTACCAGGGAGTGGAGTGTCTCGTGAATAGCTGCTGCTTGGGGAAACGCGGGAGGCGACGGAGATTTCAGTACTGAACTTGCAGTGTTTTTTGTCTGTGCTGCTTTCTCCGTAAAAGAGGAGTTTAGGGGGAGGGGAAGGGAGCCTTCTGCAAAGGGACTTTTCAGAGAATTCCTCACTCTCCACCTCCCCCTGCAGGATTTTCATGATGACCGAGTTATGCTTTATTACTTTTGTTACTGTTCTTATTGCTGTTGACCTTTTTGTTACTCAACACGCTCAAATATCGGATGAAATACTGCCTCATGTGGCGTGTGATCTTAGGGGGCAGGGACTCAAAGCCCAAAATGCAGAAATGCTAAGAATTTGTTCTTTTGAACACTGAGACCTAAAATGCTAATTCTTTTCCTTTAAATGCCTCAGACATGGGTGGAATAGTTTCTTTTTTATTAAAAACACCTTAAACAACTACATGTAAGCAGTATTTGATTGCATTTAGCAGCTGTGTGTCTGTAGCGTAAGTTTTATCATGCTCTGTGGTATCAGTGAATTTTCTTTTTGTCTAATGGCAAATTATATCAATATTGCAGCTGTTACATGCAGTAAAGAGAAAGCCAATCAAGGCAAATTAGCATAAGCCAAACTGTAGAAGAAAACAATATTCTTTCATGCAGTACTTACATAATCACAGTGCTATAAAGCTATTTCATGATGAAATTATAGTGATTTTATTATTACCAAGTAGTACAATTTATATGTTATGAAATATGTTTTTTGCAACACAAGAGCATCATCTTTCTAAGATTTCCACTTGTGGTTTATTTTTCCCTCTAGAATGACCTGTACCATTGTGATTAGCAATAATGCATACCAATTCTTCTCAGCTTTTTCATGCTCGGAACCTATATTTGGGGTTGGGAGGGGTGGTGAAGACAAAGAAGAGAGAGGTCATGACCTTTCCATTTCCTGTTCATCTGGGAATTCTGAGCTTCTGCCTTTGGGTTCATCATAAATGTCATTATAAAATAGCAATATTTTGAAAGTATACATTTGGGAAGAAAAGGGGAGATTAATTCTGAAATATGTGGTTTTTGCGCACACAGATAGACAACACTTTATTCTTTTTACAGTTTAGTGTTTTTTCTTAAAAGTTTTGATCACAATTCAGAAGCCATTTCATGTGAGGTAGAATTTCTGTATTAAGCATGCTCCAGCGAGCATGTAGCGCTCTTGCTTAGAAAACAGATATAATCCAAAAGAAGTGCCACTATCAATTATTATAGGAGACTTACTATTTCACACTGCATTCTAGATATGCTGTAGTCAGAGTTTTATTACAAATTTGAGGGGAAGCTTTTTAAAGGTCTGATTAAAATGCTGTACGTTGGAGAGGGCCTTTTCCTATTGTGCGTAGTGTGCAGCATTTCTTTTCAGTGACATTTCAACTGACACGCAAACAAAAACCATCCAGTCTTTTCAGAATGATAGAATTAATTATTAGTTTTAGAAAATATGTCTTGCAAAAATCTGAGTAACCTCCATCATAACACTGATTTTGAAAGCCAGAGGAATGCAAGAGGTCAGTCACTTCCCAAACCTTTGCAGTAAAGTAAAAGTGTGCAGGAGGGATGGAGTGTCAGGCTGATGAGCTGGGAGCTGTATTGCCGGTTTCAGCAACATTTGGTCTGTGGAAGCATACGATGTAAAACTAAGATACAAATATTAGGCCTAGCTCCTGTTCTGTTTTAAGATGAGGATGTGAAAGCTGTCTACCAGATAGGCAAGTATAAATTACCAAGGAAGATTTCAGGTACCAAATTAAAATATAATGAACGCTGTGCATTTTAGAACTCCTGCAAACTTATCTGAAAAACAGAATGGTGATATGCAGCACCTGTTAAGGTGGACGTTCATGTGTCCGTCATGGCTGGCCCTGCTCTTTGAACATTGCAAACAGTGAAATGAACTGCCTAAAACAATCCCCAGTTAAGCAATACTAGCAGAACATTCACTGAACTTTACACGAAGACGTTGAGAGAGCTCCTCTATATACTGAAGGCTGTGCTGTATAAGGTATTGGGTGGTATAAGGAGAATGGTAGAGTCAGAGGGACCATATAATATAATTCATATTGAAAGGAACTTGTGCTCAGTGGGCTTTTATTTTTGACAAAGAGCACCTTTTTTTTCTTTCTTATTTGTGCCATATGAGAGGAAATAAGAGAGGGTGTTTGTGCTACATCTGTATGAGAGGAAAACCAATAGCATGATGTAAATACCATTTACACCATTCATACCATTTGAAACATTTTATGTTGTAGGATTATTGTGGCTTGCTTGATCTAGTTTTTTGTGTAGTGCATGATTTTCCTAGAGTTGCATCTTGCTCCCTGTACCTTCCTGTGTAAAGGGTTATTCTACATACAGCAAAGGCAAGGCCGTTTTAGTCAGAGAGAGGTTTTGCAGACTGGAGCTGTATGTTTGTTAGCTGTCCCCACATCTTTTGGTAACACAGAAAATTTTCAGTGGAATTCATGAGGAGAGGTGGAGTTTCTTTTGTAAGGGAAGTAGACTATGGGGTAGGAATAGCAGTTCCACAGCTTCAGACAGTTTCTGTGCCTTAAAATTCTGATTTTATCCTTTTTTTTTTCTTTCTGCCTCCAAGGCTCGCTCTTGTATGGCTCTTTCTTGTGTAAAGTAGAGAGGTTTTAGCTTTATGCATATAGTCCTAAATTTCACTGTAAGTATTATTTTAAGATTTTCTTTCTTTTCCTTCTTTCATCTTAGAAGGTGACTACACACTGCATTCAGAAGTGGGGGGAGGTTGTGCACGCTTGGGTTTTATGGGACTATCAAAGAAAAAGCCAGTGACCCTTCCCCTTCTGCCTCCTGAACAGTGAAACCTTAGGAGGTCCTTGCCATGCCGGAAGGTCCCAAGACAGTGACGCTCTGCTCAGAGTGCCACCAAAAGAAAATGAAGGCATTTCATATATTTTAATGTATGGATTTTATGCAGATAGGAAAACATGCTATAGCATGGCCTTTATTAGCTTCAAATCCGTGCATACAGTGTAAAGGGAAGGGTAGAAGTTGGTTATTTTTACAAATAATAATCTTGGACACAAACTGAAATAGAGGAAATTCCATTTAAGTAGGCCTGGCCCCAAATGACTGTGGTCTTGGGCAACCTGCTGTAGATGTCCCTGCTTGAGCAGGGGTGGGACTGGGTCTCCAGAGGGGCCTGCCGACCTCAGCGACTGTGATCATGTGAACTGTGGAACAAAGCTTACACTACCTTTACCCAATGGGCCTGCTGAAGTGACTGTGCATGGTTAAAGAAAGTGTGACATGCCTATTTTATGTATTATAACTCATTTGAAACATTACCCAGGTGATTCCTCAGGAATATGAACAACAGAACAAGATCGCTGCGTATTTGAAATCACGGAGATCAAAATATGCTATTTTTTCCTCTTTCCAGGTTTAGTAGCTGAGCGAGGCTAAGTGCTACTGTGTATTGAATTCTTCTCTTTCTAATTTGTTTTGTTTTAGACAATTTGTAAAATAGGTTTTCACCTGTTAATTGGGGTACTTCCCAGGCAGATATTAAAAAAAAAAAAAAGACATTTATTTTATTCTGTTTTCATAAAGCACCCAGACTGAGAAAGAATTGTGTGAACACAATAGTGACTTTTTCATGGCAGCAGTTTTAGCAGAATGATAGGATTCATTTAACAGAAGTGATATATTTAAGAAGTTGAAACTGATGCAGTAGTCACTTAAAAAAGAATGGAATTTAGAAAGTAATTTAATAATATACTTATGGATTTCGAATATTTTTTGTTCCTTTTTGAAATTTAAAAATAAGAGTTTGAGGAAAGAGAATTCCTATCTTTTGTACTGCAGAACAGAAAGCTGGAATTTTTGCACTGCAGAACTATTAAAAGTATCTGGAGCCACACTGGTGTAGTCTTAATTGAAATTGGCGTGCCATGCAAGTATGAAACAGATTAGTGTGGAGTGAAATAGTTCTTATTGGTAGTCAACAAGCAAGTGGGACAACAGATGGAGGCTTCTGCTTCTCCTGAGCTTTATTCATTTGCATAAAGCAGCGACTCCACCCCTCCCCCCCCCCCAGCCACTCCATCAGCAGAGACCTGGTTGGAAATGGGCAGATAACTGTGGCTGAGCAGGGAGGAGAATTTTTCTTATTTTATTTTCTGCTGTGAGAAAAGGCTGTCTGTCTAAAAGTAGGGTTATGATTTTCAAATCAGCCTGGTGATTTTAGACCTGTTTAGTGGTTTTTAACTCTTGAGCTCATGTAGCGATTCACAGTGGCAGCCTTAGAGTACAGTGGTGCAGAAACTCTGATCAGTGAAATTTTAATGGGCCCTTTGTTTCCACAGAATTGGTGAAGTTCCTCCAATAGCCGTACCCTTTAGTCTTTGTAAAATAATTAGTAAATTTATCTTTAAAGATCCGGGGTCTGTTGAAACAGCTTGCTCAGGTTTGATGACCGCTGCTATAGATTAGAGTACTTCAGGCTGCTATGCTAATATGAACAAAAGAATTCTAGATGCAGAGAACGTTTTATGTGCAGAGCACAATTTTACATTATTTCCATCAATTTGTTTCATATATTATGCTGATAATTTGAAACTTTACATTGAATATAAATATATAAAAAGTCCTTTTCAAAATTTATAATATTGAGATAATAAATATTTTTAACAAACAATCGGCTAACCGTAATGTTGTGTGATCAGTAAGATGAGTTTGTCTGTGGTTATAGATCTATGCTATTGTCGATCTTTTTCAGGTAAATATTACACCTTCCATACATACCACTAGTGAGTTCCCCCAGCTTCTCCATCATGGTGTGAGTGTGGGTTCTTCAGCGCATAATGAGTCGTATTTATTGGCTCAGCAGAACGGCAGCCCAGCTAGCGTGCTGGAAGCCTCGATGAGATCCATCACGCCTCAGATTAATGGGAAGTCCTCTAGCGATGACTTTGAGCAACTAATCAGAAATATGTCCCAGGTAACTGTGTCTTCTGGTAACCACGAAGCATGAGTCACTGTTTATCTGATAGACTGAAATGCGTGTCTGCTTCTTTTAAGGGAACTGAGTTATTCAACAAACCTCAACTCTTTTGCTGCGTGAAACAAAATTAGCCTTTTAATTTGAGGAATAATTGTTGAAGGAGAAAACAGTCTTGGAAAAATAGCCTTGACATTGTCACTGCGTAATTAGTGTCCTTAGCTGGGCCTCTCAGGTTTGCATGCCATGGGCAGTATGCATCCTTCCACGTTCATGTGTAGGACAGCTGTCCCGCGTGAGGGGACCGTTTGTCATAGCATGCTCTTGAATGCATAACTAATAGAAACCTTGTTTTGATAAATGATTTCAAATAAGATGGAAAATTCCTTTTTGGCCTTATTGTGCGTTATTTTGTAATCTCATAAGTATTTCCTGTGGTAGGCGAAAATTGTTTAGAAGTCCCTTCAGTTTTTGGGGCTGACTTTAGCCCAGTGTGTATTCCAGCAGTTTTCTAGTTAACGTATAAAAGGTATGGGGAGTCTTCCGTTCTCTCAGAAAGCCTTCTACACAGTCCTGTCTTTTCCCTCTTTCTGAGATTCATCCTGCTGTTTCTAGTTCTGCTTCAGAACCGTGCTGTACCCTCTAAAATTTTGTGGACATACGAATCCTGCTTTAGTCACTAGTGAACTCAAACTTTGCGTGGGAAGCTGTTTTTCCTAATCTTCCCTTCTTCTGGGCTGTAATAATTTTTATTTCTCAAATCTTTCATATATTTTCAGCTTCTGTATCATAGTGAGAAGTCAGAACTGAACAACTGTGTTTCAGTTATTAGGTTACTTAGCCTTCTGCAGCTGTAGCAGTCCAATTAAAACTCTTTCACCAAGTTGTCTACTACGCTTTAATGCTGCTTTTCAACATTTTTAATATTTGTACCCTTTTCTTTCTTCCACTGAACAGGGTCGTCTTGTTGAGACCATTGAGCTTATTAAACCTTTTAGCGGTGGTCTGGGCTTCAGTGTTGTGGGCCTGAAGAGTGAAAACAGGGGAGAACTAGGAATATTTGTTCAGGAAATCCAGGAGGGAAGTGTGGCACATAGGTAAGGTTACTCCTGCAGAGTTTTACTGTACCAAGCATTAAAATGACACTGTAATTTTGTTGTTGCTTTTATGGCACAAGGACATGTTATCTTTTATTCTAAGCCATGCATTCTAGCAGATTTAAAATTATTTGTTACTACAAATAATAGAGAAGCATATGATCTGTGCCTAATTTTTCCTCAGATGTTCTTCTGTGGTATCTTATGGTATCTCCCCTTCAACGGGGGAAACAGTTAAGTTGCAGTTATGTGTATGGTTTTTAAAACTAAAAATATAGGTTTTGATGCCTTTGATTACACTTTATTTAAAACAATTAATCATGTTGGTGGGGTACAGTGCCACTGAGCAGGTGTCAGAAAGGGTGCTTTTAAGTCAAGCAATACTTGACCTAAAGTCCTTGGACTTTTAAAAAAAGCTGATGTTACCAGAACCTCAGCAATAATAATAGTTTCCTGAAAGTACCTTTTCGACTTTAATCCTGATCCCACAAGTCCTGTTGAAAAAAAAAAAAAAAAAGATTTCTGCTCTAAGAACAGCCTGAAGCAACAAGCAAACTCAGTGATGAGCGGTAGCAGTATTGGTCCATCGTAGACAAATGGTTGCATTGCCGTACAGTGTATGACTGCGCACGAATTTCCTGACCAAGCTCCTGGTGGCTGTTAGAGCTCGCTTGTGGTGTCGTGCAGGAGCTGAGGCATTGTCTCCATGCTGTTTCTCTCTGTGTGGTAGGGAACAGTTTTCTGATGACTAATGACCTGAATGTTGATATTTTAAGAGTGCAGAGTGTGACCTACAGAGTTAACTCAGTTAAAAAGTGGCTTGCTATATGTCCTTACAATATATTCTAATTTGCCTAAAATGCCCTTTCATTTCTTGGGTTTTTATTCTCCCTCCAATGGTTTTTGCTTTTGCTTCTCTTATTCCATGGAAAGCATATTGATAGATACCCATCTATATGTACATTGAGGCATATCTATACCAAATCAGGTCCTGATTCGTTGTCGAGAGCAGAACTATTCAACAAGTGCTATAGGCTGCATCAGTAATAAGTCCAGAGCAATAACAAATGTAGAGCACTAGGAAAAAATCATTCAAATTTGTAAGCAAAATATTACAGCTTGAAGCTAGATACCGTTTTTCCTGAATGCTGTTGAATATTTTGGCTTCTGTACTGTAGGTGCACACAAAAGCTGGGATAATAGGCATCATTATTTTTGTTGCTGGCCTTTGTTTCATTGAACATTGCTGCGTAGGGATTCTGAAGATGTGACCGCCAGAGTCTTTGCTTGTTTGTTGTAGAAGTGATGGAAGCAGGGGAGAAGACAGAGGGAAGCTCATCTGTGTGGGCTTCATACAGTTCCTTTGAAGCAGGTCTGGGGAAAGGCTCAGTATGTGATTTCACAATAATATTTCCTTTATCAGATAGTGAATAATTGTTTTATAATTTATTCAGCTTTTTTTTTTTAATTTAGAAGAGAGGTTTTTTTTTTTTTTTGGATGCGATGAAAACCAAAATTAGTTTCCCTAACGTCCTGATGAAAGTGTGTTCCACTCTGTGGTTTGATGAATATTCAGAATGGGTGCACTGAACAAAGTAGGGCACTTGGTCTGTTAAGCAAGAGGCTCGAAGTCAAGAATAAACATAAGTTCTCAGGCTATGGTTGGGAGCAACTGAGATCTAATATGCTTAGTCTCGGATGGAGGTACAGGGAAAAGAAAGCTAGCTAGGGGGTAGCAGTCAAGAGAGAGTGGCAGTGGGATTAGCTTCAAAGGAGGCGATCACCAGGGTGCCGTCGCAGCTCCTTGTAGCAAAACTGCAGGGAGAGATTAAAAACTGGAGAAAATGGAGAACTGCATATTAAAAATACCGGAAAATTGTCAAAATATTATAATTTCTGTGGCAACCCTTTTTTTTTGTTTTTCCTTGTTTGCTTGTTTTGTCATCCTCCTTCCCTGTTTATACATATGTGACAGAGATGGAAAGCTGAAGGAAGCAGATCAAATCCTTGCTATTAATGGACAAGCCCTTGATCAGACAATTACACATCAGCAGGCTATCAGCATCCTCCAGAAAGCAAAAGATAATGTCCAGCTAGTTGTGGCCAGGGGCACTTTCCCTCAGCTCATCAGTCCTGTAGTTTCCCGATCTCCATCTGCTGCTAGCACAGTTTCAGCCCATTCCAACCCGGTGAGTATACCCCAAATGTATCTGTATTCAGTTCTCGTCGTGTACGCTCTTACTGCGCCTAGTATTTTGAGACATTTTTGTAACTTGTGTGTGCGTTTCCTTCACAATTCCTGACCTTTTTCTTCCATATATCTATGTTTTACCTTTTCCTGTGCAAATAATGGAAAATATTCAGGCTTACTAGGGAGATCTCGACCTTGACCATATTCATTTTCCCCTCTGCCAAACTCTGAGTATTCACCAATGCAAATAGAGCACGTTTGCCTTCCATCATAACACTTTATTTATGATAGCAGTAAACAGCATCTTTTTCTCTCTTTCCTCTCTGTTCGGAGAAACAGAAATTTCTGAGGCATGGCAATCTAGTCTGCACTACCAGCTGAACAGGTGCTTCTCTATTTGTTCCTCTATTGCCTTTTAGCAGTGGAGTTCAAACAAAGCAACAAAGAGAGCTATCAAAATGCCATGTGTGGGGAGAACACTTCAGGTCCCATAAAAAGCAGCTCTGCTGCAATTCCTTTCTTCTGAAAAATCTGTTATTTCTAGGTGCAGAGAAGATGATTCAAAACCAGGGTGATATTAACTGGACATTTCTCCTGGTCTCTTTTCTCGTATAATGCACCTTATATGTTTGCTTGCCCTGGGACGGAATGGCCTATCTTCTCTTCCTATAGGAACATCGGACTGTTCAGATATCTGTGGCTTTTCTTGAAGGGAGTCTGTAATCAGTGGTAGACAGTAGGATGTTTTGAAAAAGCAGCTATTTTATTGTTTATTTTAACCATTGGCATAAAATACTTAGTGAAATTCAGAATGATTGTTTTCTTCTGTATGCAGATTTGTACATGTAAAATGGCTTTAAATTTCTTGCCAACACATGAAAAGGCCTGTTTTTCTCCAATATTCCTGTTCTTCTCAATTTGATTACTTCCATTTTCTCTGAACAGCTTCCGTTTCTTGAAAAAAATGTTCTTTTTAAGCCTACCACAGCTCCTCTGCTTCCCCCCTTCCCCCCTTCCCTTTTAATGCATGCCTTTTCCTTGTGATCTCTTAGCTTGCAAAGGCTGGTGGAAAGCAGCTTATCCTGAGCTATTCTTTTTCCTTCTGGCTTCTCTTTTTAGTCATCAGTTTATGCTAAGACTATGGATACCCAAACAGGTTTTGCAGTACCTTGGTTACTCCAATATGTCCACTTGTTTGTAAGGTTCTGCCTGGCAGAGCACCTGGTGCACTTTTGAATTTCAGATAAGTTGATGATTTGTCCTTACATTAGAAGCAGCCCTGTGAGTACTCCAGTAATCAATTCGTTACCATTCAGTAGGAGGTACCATTGCTGTTTCTTTCAGAGCAGTTACTCTTCTGTCACAAAATGAAGCTTACCACCAGAATTATTTCATTCTAATACCGTCAGTATCAGATAACCTAAAAATCTTTGTCGGCAACACAGGTGGCAATTTTGCAAACATATATCTTGTAATATCCAGTGCTGCTCTGAAACTTTATTCCACCTCTGAACTGGGCTTACGCTAATTCTTTGTGCATTATTATAATTGCCAGTTTGAACATGCACACATCTGAATTTTCAGTCCTGTGAGAATTCTGATAAGCAGTACTTTTGTCACTGATCATAATGGGGTCAGACTATTTTCAGTGGTACCCAGCGACGGGACGAGAGGCAACGGTCACAGATTGAAATACAGAAAGGTCTATCTGAATACAATGACCCTTCTTTCCTGTGAGGGTGACTGAGCACTGGAACAGGTTTCCCAGGGAGGTAGTGGAGTCTCCTTCGCTGGAGATATTCAGAACCCGTCTGGACGTGATCCTGGGCAACGTGCTCTACATGACCTTGCTGGAGCAGGGAGGCTGGACTAGATGATCTCCAGAGGTCCCTTCCATCCTCAGCCGTTCTGTGATTAAGATGTGGGTGGACCTTGGCCGCTTCATAGATTTGTTCAGCGATCCAGTTCTGGAACAGCAGGACCCACCATTCAGCTCCAGTTTTTACCACAGAGTTCCAGCTGTTATGGAATGAGCAATTTATTATGTTAAATATTAGAAAATCTAATATTTAGAGTAATAAATATTACTCTAAATAACCCTAATATTACCCGTTAGGGTAATATTACCCTAACGGAAATTGTTAAGAAGGTCTCATGTTCCCACTCTCTTCTTATTCCAAAACCTACCTAAGAAATAAGAGAAAATATTTTATCACATTTTAATATGTTTATCTTTATTTTAATCATTTACGCACTTATATGTATTCCTTTTAGGTTCACTGGCAGCACGTGGAGACCATAGAGTTGGTGAATGATGGATCTGGTTTGGGATTTGGAATAGTGGGAGGAAAGTCAACTGGAGTAATAGTTAAAACCATCCTCCCAGGAGGGGTAGCTGATCAGGTAAATTCAACCCAGCCTAGCGTTTACCAATCAGTACAGTGTGAAGTTATTATTTATCTCTCTGATGCTACTGAGTAACAATCATTTTTCTCCTCACAAGTGTAAGAAGCAGAGCAAGTGTTAAAAATTTATCCTCCGTAACGGTGCGTTTAGTGCATGCGGTCTAGACGTGTAAATCCAAAATTTGGATTAGGCTTTAAATTGTTTTTTCAGATCTTTCACAGTATACTTGTTTTGTGCAGACTCCTGTATCTGACCCAGATATCCTGGCCCTAGTCCAGGAGAGGGACTGAGCAGCGACTGTCTCTGTTTTTGCCAGACGGGGCTCATATGAAGTAAATTTGGTCAGCTCAGTCCATTTCAAGCTGATCCACAGGACAAGTGTCCATACAACTGTGCTGCTGCTGCTGCTGCTGCTGCTGCTGCTGAAGGGCTTCTCTGTTAGAGCGGAGGTCAAGGGCTGAATAGGCACCGAGGCCAGTCAGTCTTGTAACTGCGGGAACTGCGTCTTGAGGAAAGGGCTTGGAGAGGCATGGACAGAACAGGCGTTACTGCTGTGCCCTTCCAATGAGCAGAAAGATGGGCTATTTTCCCACACCTGACACTTCAGTAGCTTTCATATAGGCTAAATTCATGTGAAGCATTTTTATTGGTTAAAAAAATAAAATAAATTTGACAGTAGAAAGCAACAGGAGAATAAACCAGTATAAAGCAATATCAATAACCAGATCACAGCAAATGAGAAACGTATTTTATTTTGAAGATATGGCTAATCCCGAGGACAGGTTTTTAAATAAAAGTGTAAAGCTTGAATGTACTTTTTGTATGCTGTTACTTGGAGGTGTGTTTGGAGATGAAACCTGAAATTCTCTAATGTACAAATATATTTTTAAAATATCAGCAAGTAATAACCATAATTGGAAGCATTTTTTTTCATGCCCAGATGTTTATCTACTTGAAAAAGGTTTTGTCCTTGATATTTCTGTGGAAATTTGTAGTAAAATTAGCATACCTTTTGGTAACCTGCTTTTCTTCTGCATGGTATCAGGGTATTGATGTGGCATTCAAAAATTAAAGTTACTTAGCCGTATCTTAAAAGTGACTACAGCTAGGTAGTAGTTTTCTGATGAAACTACTGTTCTGATTTTCAAGTGAGATACCTGATGGAAGTGGCAGATTTTGCTTTTGGTGATTTTAACTCGCTGGTTACTTCCTCCAGCATGGCAGATTATGCAGTGGAGACCACATCTTGAAAATTGGTGACACAGACCTGTCTGGAATGAGCAGTGAACAGGTGGCCCAAGTCCTGAGACAGTGTGGAAATCGAGTGAAACTGGTAATCGCAAGAGGTCCTATTGAGGATCCAGCCCCGCCAGCAGTCCCACCGGGTACACCAGTACCCACCTCCACAGCAGAGAAACAGGTAAGTACCAGTGAATACGCGCGACTTGTGACAAACTTCTTCTTCAGGCTCTCACTTTTTTATTTTTTTAATTGTTAATTGCTATTGGAATACCTTCCACGTGTTTGTTCTTTCGAGCCACTGTTTTCATTCCTAGTGGCGGTGTTCTCAGCCTACAGATTGGGAGAATTTGCATGCCATCAAACACGGCACAATGAGCACATCCTTGAAGCCTTTTAGGATCTGGGCTTGGAGATAGAAGTGTGATCCAAATAACTTCTGGGTTGATTAGTTCATTAACTTGCTTGTGATTATGCAGAAATACTTTGGGAACAACAGAAACTGAGGGATTTTTTCTTCAGACAGAGCAAACTGACGCTGCAGCACTTCTTTGCTTGCCTGTCCTTTTCCTCTCCAGAAATGCTTTTCATTCCCATATTGTTGCAGCCATCCATCAGACAGCTCCTCCCTGTGCCAATCAGCACTCAGATGCCGCTTCCTTCCAGCGTCATCTGGCGTTGCTCGTTTGCTAGTCATCTTCCAAAAAACCAGTCAGCCAGCTGCTACCCTTATTCCCCTGCTGACGATTACGCTCACTGTGCTCGGTTACTCCTCGAACTCATTATGACTCCATCAGCCACTTCAGAAGTGCTGTAAACATCCTAATGCTTTGTCAAGTTAAAGCCACTAGAAAATAAGTCATTTGTGTGTTTACAGCAAAGTCTCATTTCAGAAAAGTGAGGAATAGTAGTGTGTAGTCATATGTAGTTATGACCAGATAACATTTAAGTTGTCTGAATACATGAAATAAGTTAATGAGAGAAAAAGTAGTTGCTTTTGGGCCTAACATACATACGATTTATGCCCTACAAATAGTTTTTTCACTGTAGTTTTCCTGTTTTCCTCCCAGATACAAATTGCGTTTCAGATAAGTCACTTTAAAAAAAAAAAAAAAAAAGTCTTCCCTGGCAGTTCCTTGCATGATTACATTTTTTTACATCTTTTTACATGTGAGCATTTTGGTGGTATCTATGGAAAAGGGCAAGACAAGCAGATACTGTTGTGGCTATAAGTTGTACTAAGAACGATCGTGCACACTGAGTCTTTTCTGAGCAAATGAGAGGAGGGACTGCTATTTTTGTGTCTGTGCAGCCCTCAGAGGCATGAGGACCCGGCTGTATTTTTGATAGAAGGATCAATATCTAGCCTGAAAATTATTTATCTGTAAAGTAGTTGTCTCAGAAGAGAAGCTGAATTTGATAATTTCATCTGTGCTTATGTCCTCAGTATATCTCTTTCTGTGGGCAGTTATGTGATGTGATGTGTGTGTGTGTTGCATGCCATGTCTGCAGTTTCAGAAGAATGTGTGGAATTTCCAGGACTGAGGGCTCAAAGGCTCCAAGGAGCCAAAGCCAACTTTTTTGCCACTTTCCTCTCCGTTTCCATCCTTTTGAATACCTTGTCGCTGGTACACACGTGGCTGCCTCTGCCTAGACAAAGTCTTACTCTTGGAGGGAGCACTCAGTGAATGATGCTGCTGCAAGCTTCATTAATTGGGGTCTGGGTATTAAACATCAGTGGAGTGGGGGTGATGATGGGTGCAGCTTGATTTGCCTCTTCCTTCCTGACAAATACAGGGTAGGTGAGAATGTCCTATTGTTTGAGGCTATCAGGGGGAGCAGAACCGTGCTCTTCTCCTCACGTCCCCCCATGTCTCTATCCTGCAGCATTTCATGAGGTCGTGGGAACAGGAGCAGGCTTTAAGTAGCTTTGGCTGTGGCCAAAATAATTCTGTATTATGAAGTGAAGATGTAGTTAAGACTGTAGACTTCTATTTTCCTGGATGCTGGGTTGTGTTTCTGGATGGAGTTACTGTGATAAAGCACTAAAATCAGACTCTCATTTAGCAAGTAGCATCACAGTTCTCCTGTAGTAGTCAAAGTGGGTGAGTGGGTTTAGTTAGTATCTGTCCGTTTGCCATGTTGTTAGTTTAAACAAATATGCTGCTATTTGTCATAGAGAAGAGACTAGATAAAATAGGAGTATGCAGAAGGATCTTGATAGATTTATGCTGTATATATGAATTCCCGTTTCAAATGTGTGTTAAAATATAGAAGTTTGTTTAAATAAAATGAAACTGAAGCCCCAACTGTGTACTCATGTATTGACACATGTCAGTTGTGGAAGCACCGTTTTAGAAAACTGAAGGATGAATATTTTTGGAAAAAAAAGTCTTTTAAAGTATGAAAGGAAATTCTTCAAGTTTTTTTTTTTTTTTTTACTATGAAAGCAAAATTATTGAAATGGGGTTTTAATATGCATTCTCCTATGATAAGTAAACCACTTTCATTGGAAATAAATAAATGAATTCATTACCACAAAAAGTCTTTGTAACAGAAATTCAGAGGACTGTAGTGGGTGTTGGGGGTGATTGTCATTATGTAATTACCTGGAAGTATAACTGCTGCTTTCTAAAAGAGAAGTTTTAAGTCCTTCCAGAAACTGGAAGCGTAATTGTTTCAATAGAAATAGCTTTCATTGCATTTCAAACACGGTGTGCATAGGAAAAAAGTAGCTAGAATTACTGAGCAGGTATTTAAACAATTAGAATACAAAATATGATTTTGATGATTCTTTTATATTAACACAACAATCTATAAAGCTGGTACTGAGGAACTTCCAGAACAGAAGTGAGCTGCAAATTATAACATTTAAGCATAGGTTGTGTAACTTATTATAGGTGACAGACAGTGTTCAGTTTGTTCAGGTTTCACCAGTCAATGTAGTCATCAAATAGTAGTTTTACAGGCTAGAGGACTAGTACCCCAGGGACAGTGAGGAGGGGAAGGCATGACCCTAATTGCATTGTTATCTATGTGCGGTATATCTGCTGAACACCAGAAAAGAGAGCAGAAGCAAATTTGCTACTTTATTGGTAATGTTTATATTAATATTATATTTTTATATTAATGACATCAAAGAACGTGGTGGACTTTCAGAAAAAAAAGAGTTTCTAATCACTGTTTTCTTATTAGGCAGAAGCTTCTGTTGACAGCTGCGAAGATGGAGAGAAGTTTAATGTGGAACTCACTAAAAACATCCAGGGTTTAGGAATAACTATTGCTGGTTACATTGGAGACAAAACCTCTGGTAATATTAGACTCCTAGAGCTTTCTTTACCATCTGTTACTTAGAGCGGTCTACCTGCACTACAGACCTAATATGAGATTTGGTATAGTATCTCGGGACAAAACCTTGATCCTCCAAAACTTTTCTAAAGCTTGCAACAAAAGGAAAAAAAAAAGTGTTTTCCAATGGGAATTATGAGATTCAGATGGCAAACAATAAGTATTCATTAGAAAATCTTTCCTCAGGGTCTTATGTCATTTTTAAAATTCACTCTTAGCTGAAGCTTGTGATAGGTATATTTTTGGAAAATACTTCTAAATTAGACTGAGGCAGCTGCTTTTATTAGAACTGGCTGAGCTTTTAAAATCAAATGTTCATTTAGAAAGGCTCTTATAAAATAATGCATTAATATTCTGGATGTATCAATGGTCACGTACGTTATTTATTTTTTACCCATAATTTCAACTGCATTTTTCAGAGGAATGATTCAGAACTGCTGGGCCTCACTATTTGGCAAATACAGTCCTGCCATGAGAGGATGATTGTGGAGTGTGTCATAACACATTGCAAAGAGCTGTTGCTATGACTCTTACCCATGTATATATTGTTAGAAGAATGTAGGGATAGCCTACATCTTTGGTGGTTTATGGACATAACCTGGTGGCTTTGAGAAGCTGCACTAAATTTTCATGGTCTATTAGCTTAGCCTCCGTAGGATGGGTCGTCAGAATTTATGTAATTCTACTTTTTAGCACGTCTGAGTAAACCATTAAAGGGTCAAATAAATTATAGAGCATATGATAGATTTGATTGGTTATTTTTACTGGTTTGATGTTGGAGTATCACTAATGTAAATTTTTAATTGCTTTTAATATTTTTTAAATATAATTTAAAAATTATATTTTTAAAATATAATTTTAATTAATTTTAATATGCTACTCATAATTGTGTTTAAAAATCTTCTTGCTTTGGAACTAATTTAGCGTCTCACTCAATTGTATAACTAAACACTTGGTTAAAGAATTACTGTGCTATCACAGAAGCAGCAACAAAACTACTGGACAATGAAATCTGCAGCTCAGTCTTTCTTCACCTTTGTTACTAACAGCTTGTCGTGTTACCTCATAGCTGTTCCAGGATATAAAGACACTGGGAAATTAGGAAGGCCAGCCATTTAATTATTCATAAAATCTGGAAACACAACAAACTAAGAAAAATAACAAAAGAAACAAATATAAAGTGTTTTGCAGAGAAAAAAAGTGACATCATGACTTAAATATATTTCTTTTCTTGTTCTTCATAAGTTAAGTCTAGTTGTTAGGGCAAAACACAGATGCCTCACTACTCACTTTTGTCATATTGAGGCTGGGGAGAAGTTGAGTTTTAGGCCTATTAAGGCACTGGTGTCTAGAGGTGTCTAGAGAGCCGTTGAAACCATTTTTAGTAGATTATCTTCCCAGCAAAAATTATTCCTTTAACTAAAATTAATTTCTTTTTGCAAATTGTCCCTTCCATAGATGCTTCATATGTCTGACTTTTTCCCCAGCTCAGAATTAATGGTTGCCTAAAATTGGTTTGTTGCAGCTGTATTTTTTCTATCATTCTTTTTTTTTTTTTTAATTAGATCAAATGCTGGCTTATAGCTATAGTTAAAAGGTGATTCAAACATACATTGTAGTCCTGCTTGTTTATACTTCCTGCGTTTGGTTATCCAAGCATTCATTTTCTTAAGCAGACATAAAAAATATAATTAGTTTAACAGGTGAATAATAAGTAGTCACTAGAGTACTCAAACTGAATTTTCTATCCTGTTATTTTTAAATCAGACCAAGAGTTAGAGATAACGCGTTCTGTCAGTGTTGATTTAAAGATTTAGATTAAATTAAATTAGAATTTTTGTTGTTCTTTTGCTGCAGAAAATGGAATGTTGGGGTGGTTAAATTTTGCATAAAATAAGATAGTGTTAGCTGATATTAATCAGGTTCACCCTTTTGAAAAATAGTAATACATATGTTTCAATTTAAGCATATACTTTCTTATTAATTCCTTATCTTGCTTGGAGATTGTGTTTTCTTTCTTCCTCTCGCTTTGGCTCACGTCCTTAGTATGAGATTATTGCATTACTTGAGTTATTTCCATAATAAATGAGTTAATTTAATTTTCTCTGCTTTCTTCATCCCAGAACCTTCTGGTATCTTTGTGAAAAGCATTACAAAAGGCAGTGCTGTTGAACATGACGGTAGAATCCATGTAGGAGATCAAATTATAGTTGTAAGTAAACACAGAAAGGAGGCTGACACAGTCATCTGGGTCATGTATGAAGTCACTTGCCTGCAAAATGCTATACTTTTTAAAATTGCAAAGTAAGGCTCATGTAATACTTTTTCAAAGCCTTTGAGATTAGTCTTTAAATGATAAGGCCTTTTTTGTCTGAGCATTCGATCACATTATCTTTTGGATTATGCTATCTCTAAGTGACTCTGTTGCTTAAAGAAATCTCTGAGTGTGTATGTATGTGTGTGCGTGTATCTTAGCAAAAAGAGCTTTATAGAATGCTTAGCAAAGGCAAAGTTTAATATTTGATTTGACACAAATTAAGCAACTATTTTCAAAATGATTTTTTTAAAGTCTGTCACTAAAGTCTTGATGCTTAAAGAAGAAAATATTTATCAATATTAGGAAAAAATGCATAAAACATTAGGTCTATTTTGTGGTGGAAATCAGGACATAAATGCAGGAACCACGTTTTTGTGGCTGTCTCAGATCTGACCTCTGACTTATGTGAAGGAATGATTTAAAAAGAGTTATGGTGCCTGCATGTGTATAGGTAGAAATATATATAATTTTTATAATGATTTAAACGCTGAGTACAAACCGAAATAGAATATTGCTAAATTTGGCTTCAGCTGTTGCTGCAGATACTGAAGGAGAAAAATGATTTGAGTTGACCTAAGGCAAAAGAACAATAAGCGTTTTTTTAAAATCTGTTTTGCTTAGGCGTAATGGAAAAAAATAAAATAATACCAACTCATTTTAAATTATTTTATATTTAGGAGAGCACTGGAGTTGGAAGAAGTTCAGAGGAAGGCAGCAATGTAATTAAGGGTGTGGGGAGATTGATTCTTCATGCAGGAAGGATTAAAATAATGGATTATGTGTATTGTGTAGACAGACTCAAAACAACAGCTGAGGTTAGGGATAGATCTTTTGTTAGGCATATTTGAGAAATTACAGTCACCAAGGGGTGAAAGGGAGAAAGGATGGGGTAATTTGGAGCTTGCAGAGAAAAGGAGAATGAAAAGGTCTGTACGAGGAATAGTCAGATGAAACTGAGCAACACCAGATTAAGTCTGAGATTCAGAAAATAAAATTGAGTTATTGATAGCTTCCAACAGAAGAGGTCAAAAATTCTGTTGCTTAAAATATTTAAAAAGTTGACCAGAAATAACATCTGGACAGATGAGACAGTGATTGGGAAGTTGAACTTCATTGTGTACAATAGTAGACTTCACTAATCTGAGAGTACCTGACTTCAAGACATCTGTGCCAGGTCGTTCTGGTTGTTACCATGAATGAACGTGCCCCTCATGGCCCACGCCCCGCCAGCTATCTAGAGGGTGGCCGTGCTTCAGCCTTTCTGCCCTAGAGCCGGGATGGCTGGGGAAGGGTGGGCACAGCGAGGGCTCTGCCCTCTCGCACCATGCCGAATGGCCCGCGTGACACCGTTGCGCTTCCCACCACCGCTTCCCTGTGCTGCTGGTCGGCAGCTGTGGGGTAATCCAGTGAAAATGCTTAGTGTAGCTGAGGCCACTAAAGCTTTTGGGTTTTCTCTTGTCCCTCCACTTGCCTAACAAACGCTGAGCGCTCAAAAGTGACCATGACTATGTTCTGGAGGTGGTGTCTTGCTGGCTAATACGCTGCTTAATCCTGCAGGTGGATGGAACAAATCTTCAGGGTTTTACTAATCAGCAAGCAGTTGATGTTTTGCGGCGCACAGGACAAACAGTTCGACTCACTTTGATCAGGAGAGGGCTTAAGCAGGAAAATCGTAATCAGCCCCAGGAGGACTTCAGTGCTGCTGTTGAAAAGGACGTACTGCTCCAAATGATGGATGGTGGCACAGCCAAGGGTAATTAACATGAGCCTTGCGTCAAAGTCCTCATGAAATAGTTTTATTCCCAGTTACAAGCTGGAAATAATGGGCCAGGTTCATTCTGAGTAGCTATTCCTGATAGCAGAGCTGCTTCACATGTGGAGATATTCGGTCTACTGTGGTTTGATTAATTTTTAGAAGCAATAGTATTATTTTTTACATTTCCAAAGCAATTACTGAAATCAGTGCATTGCACTTCTAGCTAATTTACCTCAAGAGTTTCGTCCTGTAAGCCTTTGAATGGTGAGGAGGTAGTGAACGTTGTATTTGGGCTCAAGGGCGAGAACTGCGTTCAAGTACAAGCAAAGATTTACCCTCCGCACTGAGCAGAAATACATCTCAGTTCCTTTCACTCTTGCATCTCCACGTCCTCACAAGTTCAAGGTATAAAAGGATTGGCCTGTACGTGGAATTTATTAATAATCTCATAGGATACTTACTTGTACATGCATACACAGTTCAGAAGCCAGTGGTAGGTTTGCCAGTGGTAAGATGAGACTAGTGCCTTTTCAGTGGAAGCCCTTAACCTTATATTGTGTGCATCTTGAGATGCATACATTGTACCTTGTAAATCAATGTATTCAAATATCCACACAGGTGATGGATGCGTAAACAGATTTTTTTCAGCCACTTATGTCATAGATTGATGTCAACAGAAGTATATCACACACCACAGATTAGACCGTAATCACCCACTCACACAAGGTTTTGAAAGATAAAGTAGTGTGTTCCCTGTATGGTGTCTTGTCGTGCCCATGTTCAGCAGCAATTATGAAGAAAATGCTCAAAAAATGCTGTTTCTCCTGCCTAAAGGTGTTAAAGCCGGTTGACAGCCAGCAACACACCTAGCAAAATTGTTGTGGTAGAACAGGCTTTCTAAAAGTGGAAAGTCTGTCAGGTATCCGGATCCCAAAGTATATGGGCATTTCTTTGTGCAGCATCTGATTCTTGAATTGTACGCTGGAAAGAAGGAGGAAAAATGTGAGCGTGGCTTTAGCATGCGTGTGCTAAAGAATGCTAAATGTGTATGCTGTCCGTTAACTGTTTTTTCAATCGTAAAGAGAGGTGCAGCTACTCACAGATGTGTTTTCTTTTTTCATTTAAACCATACCTGCAGAAGGCAAAGCATTGACAGAAGACAGAATATCTTTAAAATATAACATTTCTTTCTGGCCCTTTACTCCACGCTGTCGCGAAGCCGTTTCCCAAATGTGGATCCTCTGAAGTCCTGCAGAAGATAAGACAGGCATGCCAAAGAGCTTGATTGAATATTAAAATGTATGAAATAGCTGAAGTCATCTTCTTTTTCCAGAAAACAGTGAAACAGAGCAGGGATCTCCATCACTGCCGTGCAGCACCGGTGTGGTAAATGTTGGCGAGGACATTAAACAACAGGAAACAGGTTCCCTATTTTTAATATCTTTTCTCTGTGAAAATGCATGGGGTTGTGCTTACACAAAGAGCAAGTGTTTTCTGTGCCTCTCTGTCTCACGTGTGCTGTGCATCTGAGATTGTACAGCTAGAAAGTGGAAATAATCATACCAGAAAACGTATGCTCCGTGTGCTATAGAGCAAATGCGGTCATTGACAACGACTGTATGTCGCTGAAAAGAGCGATTATGTCTGTGTGTCTCAGACATCGTTTGAAGCAGCGCGCTTTTGCTACGTATTCTTCGTAGCCTACTAATGTGTTTCCACTTGAAATCCTCCATCAGACTTTTTCCCTCCTCGTTCCCTTCCCTGTCCACCACCATGCCTTATCTTTCTAGCTCCCTGCCGCTGTCTGGCTACAGCTCCAGGACTTTTACCTCGTGTGGTATGAGTTCTGCAACATATATCTCTTCTGTGTACCTTTTCATAACTTCTGCTTTCCATTGTTCTAGAAAGCTGAAGAATTTCTTTTTAAGAGTTTTCCTTCAGACACTGCCAGGTCTTCTGGGTCTGTTGAATTACTGTCACATTTGAATGTCACACAGCATTGAAGCAGCTGGGTTTATTTTTAATTAACTTTCAGAGCAATGACTAGGTTTAAAACCCGTTATGAGGCTGTCAGCCACTTTCATTTCTTACTGAAATCAGTGTGAGTTGGGAACTTACCTTTTTATGTTTGTATGACGAGCCTAGCTTTTGCCTGCAATAGGCACTCAGATTTGAAGAGTTTATTTTGATGCTTACTGTGTGAGCAGCACAGTCCTTGTAACTTAAATATTAGATTTCAGTTAAATTTGCTGTGTTTATTAAATATTCCTTCCAAATACTGCTTTTTTAGTTTCCTGTCATAGAATCTAAGCAGTTCAGACGAGGAGAAAAATGAGCAGAAGAAAACTGTTTCTCTATAGTTTGAGCTTGTAGATAAACTTTCAGTCAGGTTAAGAGTTGCTGCAGTTTGCTTTCTTGCCTGTCGTTGTATTTCTCACAGCATCATTCCTTTTCTTCTCAGCTTCTCTTCCAATAGGCATTTCATTGGTGGTCTTCAGCTGTTAGAATTATTTCTCTTTGTACGTGTGCGTGCGGAAGTGAATCTAATGGAACAAAACGAGCTGGGACTTGCGTTCCCTCACTGCCCTCTGGGGCCTACAGTTTTGAAAAAATCTTTTACAGACGTTCTTACATTTTTGAAAACATTTTGTTTGATTTGTTTTTTTTTCTTTTTTCTCTTGCACGTTTTCCGTGAAAGCTTATCCGCGTATATGCAGAGTCTGTCCAACAGGAACAGTGGGCAGTGCCACGAGTGCTACGGCTGTTAATATTTCAGCCGGCCCACGAAATCAATCTGACTAGCCCACATACAGCCTGATTTAACAGATGCCTGGAGCATATAACTTTGTCATTTATTTTGTGCCCGTTCTCTTGGTAAGGTTGCATTACAGTTATTGAAGATGGAGGCTAGTTTAAATATTTGTCCTTTGAAAAATATAGTTATTTTGGATGGCTGGAGATTAATTTGGTGCTATTTGATCACCAGGCCTTAGCAGGCAAACTGGGGGATGTAAAGTAGGAAACTGTCAGAGTCAAATACTCTCTGACCAGGTTCTTTTAGATATTGCACGCACTAGGAGAGTGCAGTGTTTAATATAAAAGTTTATTTTGAGAGAATTTGTTGTTACACAGGATTTTTGATTTTGCAGAGTGATTCGGCAATATACTGAAATCACAGTTCAAGTGTATACACTTAAAGCAATCTAGCAATTGCACTATACAGTTCAGTCACAATACCAGTGTGTTTGCCCTTACCTGTCTCAAATGCGCTCGCCGTCGCGACGCTGGGTGTCCCCAGTCGGCAGGAAGGAATACGTGGGTTGATGCCGGTTCTTGCCTGTTGCTCTCTTTGAAATTTCTTTGTTAGTTGTTGAGGTTTTATACTGTCTGTTGGGCTGAGGCAGGTATACACTTCCCCCATGCTGATCTGGCTGTGCTCAGGGAGACCTTCACATTCTTTTGAACAGCTCAGAAGAAACATTCACACCAGTCTAGCTGATTAGTGGCTGCTTATCCAAAACGAAGGTCACCCTCTGGCACCCTTTGTGTTGAGATAAAGTCAGTCCTCTGTGCAACAGCAGGGATTAAGGAGCCCATCCTACACTGTGCTTGGGCTTCATGGGGCACCTGGCCCTCTGAGCCTTCTCCCGTTGTAGGGGTTACTTGTAGGGGTCACAGAAACGATATTGGAAATATAAGAGCTGAGTAGGAATTTTGGGCACGGTTTATGCCCAGCACAGTTTCAGCGTTGGAAGAGAGCCACGTGGGCAGCCTGTGGCTCACGACACCCCCGGGGCGTGTCGGTAGTGCCTTCCCTGCCCCTCCTCTGCACCCCACGGCTGCTTGCTGTGCCAGGGTCTTAAAAGTGCGACTTGAAGGGTGAAGAAGGTTAGCAGCAAAACAAATGGCATGATTTAGTGGTGTATTTTTTTTTACAAATCAGTATGCTAGAACCAGTACTGTCAGTAAGTGGTTTTGCTCAGTCCAGGTGGAACGCATGAGCTGACGGGGGACAAAATGTCTTTACCTCATCTTTCTGAAAGTTTTTCTTCTGGTTAATCTAAACCTGAGGCAAAACATGTCAAGTTTTCAGTCGTACCTTGGAGCATGCTGGTACCATGGAGTGATTCGGAAGTCCTGCAAGACACACTTACCTTATCAGTGATAAGAATAGACAAAAGTGTTTAGTTTTCATCATAGTAATTTCAGATGTAACTTTTAGATTTCCAGTTAACTACTGCAGAAGAAGTAGCTCTGAAGACTAAATGGCAGAGAATTATGGGTTCAAATTATGAGATAGTGGTAAGTAAACTTTGATTATTATTGTTAGATGCCTTTGATGCATCTGTCTGTTATATTGGTTACCTGTAGATCTATGTATGTATACGTTATATTTGCCTCTCTATATTTGCAGTGCATTCGTATGCTCCTTAATCTGCTGAGATGATTTTATTTATTTCAGTTACAAATTTTGAATATAGATATATGTATTTTCCCTCAGTGACTCAAAAAATAATCACAGGCTTCAAAGGTTAATATGACTGTGAGTACTGATAGCTGTTTCACAGGTTTCATACCTGCCTGGGAGGGTAAATGTGTATTAGGGTAAAATACGTTTTTGAGATGAACATCAGGACTCACTTGATTAGCAAGAATTTCAAGCTAGTATCTGAAACTTCTTACCCACCTATATACTGAATGAGTTGCTCGTCTGATGTAGTGATCTAAATAACACTTAGGACGCTCACTGTAATTGCAATTAAAAAACCCAATCTCTGAGTTTAGGACTTTATTTCAGAATTTTATGCCTCAAACTGTATTCTTTACAAAAGTTATATTTATTTTATGTGATTGGTTGTCACATACAGCTTGCACTTGTATATGTTGAAGTGATGCATTTATTGTTATGAAAGTTACAGTTTTTACCTGGCTGTCCCTTGATCCAAGTATTTCTACACAAATTCAAATCTGAGTGCATGAAGCCTCTTCCTCATCTTGCGTAGATCGTATTGGATGAGACTGTGTTTCAGTTTCAGCACTGCAAGGACTTTTTTGGTTGTTCTTGCCTCAGAATCTGAAGCACCACAGAAAGCTAGGTAAAAAGTAGATCTGTCTTGCTGACCTCTTAGCCGTACGTATCAGGCAATATAGACACATTTCTCCAAATATGTTTTTTTTTTTGGTTCCTTGGTGAACCACTCTGTGAATCCATAGCAGCAGTTTTCTTTCCAGAATAGTCTACTATTTTGTGACTGCATAACTTTCACTGAGTGAGGCCTGTACATCTTAATTTTTGTGCGGTCTTTGTATTTCCCTCTCAGTGCTTTTAATCGTACTGGGAAGTTAAAACTGGATGCTTTCTTTTAGCTGCTGTTGTTATTTCCCTTGGTGTTATTTAAAAATATAAAACCCAGACTAATAACTCTGAATGTTTTTTTGCAACCTGCAAGGTTGCATTACACATGTCAATATTTCTAGTTTCTCAGTTCCTAAATAGTCACTTCATTGCATGTGAATTGAAGTGGAAAGTAACAAATATGGCTTTAAATATGTCAAAAGTAACTTTTTCTTAATCTTCTTTTAGGTGGCTGTAGTTAACAAATTTAGTGAAAGCAGTGGGTTAGGGATAAGCCTTGAAGCTACAGTGGGGCATCATTTCATCAGATCTATCTTACCAGAGGGGCCAGTTGGACGAAGTGGCAAGCTGTTTAGCGGAGATGAGCTGCTTGAAGTAAGAAAAAATTCTGACTTTTTCTTAGTCTGCCTTCAGTAAGTCTTGTGAAATGACCTGCTTTTCACAGGTTATGACTTGGGAATGTAGCCTCGCTTATTGCATATCAGCCCTATTGCATATGCCCTGAGTGTTTGAGCAATCACTTCATATATTCGTATGTATATTTATTTATGTAAATACATATGCTGACAAGCATCTCTCAGCTAATAGCTGATTTTTCAGAGATACAATTCAAGGTGACCAAAAAAGAGTACTTAACAGAAGAATGAAGATTTAATAGAAATGCTCCTACCCTATGAAGGGAGTAAACAACTCTTTTTCTAAACCATTTTCTTGGAATTAAAATGTGAGTTTCCTTCCCATGAATACAAGAAATAAAAATGATCCATCTGTTTTCATGCTTAATATGCCAATTCCCACATAAATGTGCTAATGTTGCTTATTTTGTTCCATTGTCTTTCATATTCATATCTTCCCTATTGTACCTGGGGGCTCTTGCTTAACAAGTGCCAGAATTCGTGGTTTTTGTAAGGCTGAGGCAGGCCGTTTATGGGACTTACCATTCAGCACAAAACTTTTTTAAAGATGCCAGTTATGTTGGAAAAAAAATTCAATGGACCCATCAACATTCTCTGTTAATAATATTTTTTAAACTTTTTAAATTTTTTGTCATTGTACTTCTACTAAACATTGTTTATTCTTGTTTCTTGAGGTAAATGAGATCTCTTTGCTTGGAGAAAATCACAAGGATGTGGTCAATATCTTGAAAGAACTGCCTGTTAAGGTGACGATGGTGTGCTGCCGTCCGGTAGCTTCCCCTGTGAGTCACCCAGAAGTATTGGACGGTCTAAGTCTGTCTGAGGTTCAACTCACAGAAAAGGTATTTTATTTAACAATTATTAAGAAAAGGAATGTTTCCTTGAGCAAAACATACAAAGTTAATGTACAAGATGGACCTTTTAGTATTTTGGGATTTGGAATCAAATAGATAGAACAGGACAAATTATATTCACCAACCCCAATTTAAGACAACCAGAAGATGTAGCTACTGGTAAGCCATGGGTCAAAAAAAAGAAAGAAAAAAGAAAAAAGAAAAACCTGGAATCCAGGAATATCTACCCAAGTACTTAGCTTCTGTTCTGCCGGTGGGCTGTTTCGGTATAGCAAATCGAACTATGTGTTTTTTAGAGTCTGAAATATTTAATCTGATTTTGAGCTTGGCTTTCTGGTTTTCTTTTTTGTAGATCTCAGTGTATGCTCTCTGACATATGCATTTTTGTCATTCATGAGTTCAAAACTCTGGCCAGCCTGGTGTGCTAAACATGTGGAAAGGGTATTTTTATGAAAAGAGACAACTAATTTCAGTTTTGGGCAAGGCGCAAAGATTGGCTCGTTGTTGCTAAGCTTTTTAATGAAACCAGGGGAAGAGAAAAACATATAAACGTGTGTATATGTGCGAGTGTGCATGTATATTTGTGTGCTTGGTTTTTAAAAATATTTTGACTCCTGTCAGTAGTATTATGTTTAAATTTATTTAAGATTTAAATTTATTTTTAGAGGTACCATTTTGTAACAAATATTGCCTTTATATTTAGATAAAAGTATTAATGAGAGTTTTCTGAAGTGATTTGTTTGGCAGAACTTCCATTTTGTAAATATTCTTACCAGTGAGTGCTTTCGTATATTTACAGCATAGATGATGTGTTACAAAGATAAATGAATTCTGTATTAGATCCATCAGACACGTTTCTTAACTCTACTGAGTGCTTAAACTTTCTGTATGTTTAGGGAAACATCACTTATTTATTTATCAGGTTTTGGTGAACAGAGTTTAGCCTCTGCTAATTTATGAACATTTACATAAATGCAGTTGGTAGACGGTCTGTGTTTTTTCCAGGCTCATGTAGAACTTGGATTCATTGGCTCCTCAGACACAGAGGGAAGAGCTTTGGAAATTGCTGATGAGGATCCGAATATGGAAGAGATACAAAGCTCTTCTTTGGCAATGTGGGAAACAGAAGTTCAGCACATTGAGCTGGAGAAAGGGAATATGGGACTTGGATTTAGCATATTAGACTACCAGGTAACTTCTACATTCCTTCCTCTGAGCAGAGAACACAGTACTCTGCCTTGTTTGGATTTCATTATGTGATCTAAATATGTTTTTTAATTGTAAACCGTAATGTAAACTAGATAATACAATAAAGCTACACAGATGACGCTATTAGCAGGCACCCCTTTGTTACTTATTCCTCTTACTGCATTAACGCTATCAAATTAATCCAGAAGAATAATCAATAGTATACTAGATCTTCATAAACTTTTGTCTTCTGGTGCCCCAGGGGCAGTGAATGATGTAGACAACTTAGAAGATGCAGGCCTCTAACCATACATTTTGCATGTGCAATTGGGTGCTGAGGGCTAGATCCAATAAAGGACTTAGGTGGTTAAAGCAGGATTTACTAAAATCCAGAACTGCAATGCTGAAATCCCTTGCTTAGCCGCTGTCTAACCATGCTCCTAACCATGTCTAGCCGTGTCTTAAATGCTCCAGTTCAGTTTGTGTTTGACTGAAAAACTCCTGGCATCCAAATCCGTGATTCTTGGTGTGTCCCGATGTCGGGGCAGCTTGGTGCCTGCCTGCTGCCTGGGCGTCAGGATCCAAGAGCAAATGCTCCTTCGTTCAAGACGGGCACCTGAATTTTAGAGAGGGAGTAGAAGGGAGGTTGTTCTCTATTTCCTATTGTCTCAGTGAGTATTTTTCCCAGATTCAAGTGATTTCTTCCCATGGTCACTGTACACGTCTGCTCCAGTTTATGGTATTGCTGCAGAACTGTTAGTTCTCCATTGGATCTTGTCCTTAAAAGCATCTTCCTGTTCGCATCCGGCGTTCACTTGCAGATGGAAATTAGGCCCATAGGGCACTACTTAGAAGAACTCTCTGTCCAAGTAATGTTTGGCGTTTGCAAGCTGACAAAGGTATATGACAAAGCAGGGAGGTTTAGTAACGAGCACAAAATCTGAAGGTTAGAGATGTAGTCAAGCATCTGTTCTGTGCAGCAGTGATGACAGTTTAATGTGTTACTTCTGGTACCCTGAATTGAAACACCCTTGCTGAACCTGAGTATTTCCAGTCTTGTGTCAGCATGAAGTCAGTCATGTTTTTCAGCCTTAACCTTCTGTCTCTTGTTAAGTGTTGACGCAAACTAGGATTGCTCATATGCTCAGTTACTGCATTTCATTTATGGATGATAGTAATGAAGAGTTGTGGGAAAACCTTACATTTTTGTACGTATTTTGCATGTGCATGTTTGATTATATCCTACAGTTCTAGGAATCTCTCTGAAGCTTACTTATTTCCATTTGGTATTTCATATTTGTGATTTATCTTGCGTTCTTTCCTCTGAGATGTAGTTAAAGCCTTTCATTTTGTCAGTGAAGTTTATTCTTTCATCTGGGATTGTGTAAATCGTAAATCTAGTTTATTGTTCACATTTTATATTTATGCTTTGCTATTTCTGTTGAATTTTTAATTAATTTTCAATGCACAGTGACTAGAGCTGTGGACTGTGTTCATGTTAATGCATTCCTCATGTTTTATACAATGACAGGCTTGTTCGTGTTGCTGCTTACCCTAGGAAAAAATTGTCATGTACACTCTAGGTGATTTTTTCCAAAAAGCGTGTCATGCAGTGTCTTTTCAAATGACAATGTAATTATTTGTTGGTGAAATAGTGAGGAAACAGTGTTCAGTCCCAAGTAATAACTTCAGCAGTTCTGGTTGTGGTTCAATATGTAGATTGTTTTATCGCTTTATGGCAGTTTCCTTATTGCATTAATTGCCATGAGCTGTCAAGGAGCTTCGTAGTCTCCCTCCTTCCCTTTCCCCTTTCTCTCAGATTAGCTTTGAACAGTGTCTTATTCCTATATTTTTGGATGCTGGCTTTATGAGTGCCTCTTTTCTGGTGTACATCTTGGCGTGGAAATTTATTGCAGTTGCATGCCAATTTGTAAATGTTTACTTTTCCCTTCTCTTTGGTATCAGTAAAGCTGATACTGTATTACATTTCCTATCTTTTTTTTTTTCCTTATATGTGTGCACAAGTGAGTTAACATATTGGTAGCATTAACGTCTATCTATGTTCCTTGTGAGTATAATTCTGTAAGAATTATGCAAAGGTATGATGCACCTGTGGTAACGGCTAAAACAGAACTATATGTTCCTGTTCCTAGTATTTAATGGTAGCATGATTATCCAAGTCAGTGTATTGGAGAATGGGGACTGTAAAGCAGTTTTCTTTTTAAAAGAAAACTTCTCTTTGTTGTGTCTTTTTGATTAAAGAGTGCTGTGCTGGTGAACTCCTGTCTCTCTTGCATGCACAAAGACTTTTAGAATGTGCTTTCTCAACTGAGTGAGATTTGGTGCCAGAAAGTGCAAGACAGCCCTTGAAAATAAGTCCTTTGTTCCAGCAGCTGAGTACAAGTGAGGCTTAAGTCTGATGTTTTCATTACAGCAGAAATATTTGAATTTCTGATGTGGTAATTATTTATTACAGTGTAAAATGCACTCTATGGCTTAGCAGAATTTTATGCTGGAGATGGGGCATCACCTTGTGATAATTTTCACTTTTCAGAACAGAAAATAGGGGCAAGCCTAAATGTACGGACAGGAGGGTAAGTGCCTGCTGAGGGTTCATCTGCAGCAAGAACTGCTTTCGATTCTTGAAAGTTAATGCATAGAAATGATCCTCTCGAGGCATAAAAGAATAAATACAATGGAATGCTTTTTCTTCCTTTCATTTAATTAGGATCCCGTGGACCCAGCAAACACTGTAATTGTAATTCGCTCATTAGTTCCTGGAGGTGTGGCGGAGCAAGACGGCAGACTTCTTCCTGGAGATCGGCTCATGTTTGTCAATGATACCAACCTGGAAAACGGCAGCCTGGAAGAAGCGGTACAGGCGCTAAAAGGAGCCCCGACAGGAACAGTTAAAATAGGAGTTGCCAAACCACTGCCTGTAAGGATTTTGGAATTAGATGGGTACTTTTCTGATCTTTTAAGCTGCTGTGTAGTGGTTCTTACTTCCATATACACTTTACATGCTTTAAGGTATAGCTGGATGACTCAAAGCATCCAGAAAACTTAATTGAATTCCTGTACCTCCTGGCATATAGCAGGGGCCTGTGTGGTATATGAATACAGTAGTGATTCCAGGACCTAGCATGCTTATCTTCTAGATCAGGGATGGTTGCTGAGGAAGCAGCAAAGCCTCTTGTAACCAACACAGTCTTTTCAGGGCTGCGTGCTGCCAGGCGTAATTTTGTAACCTTCACAGAATCTTCCAATGCATAAGATGGTGGCATGAAGTCAATTGTATGCTGTTTATCTGAAATTTGCGAAGTCTGCTTTGCGAAGTCTGGTCTGCTGTATGTGTAGCACATATGCAGTCTTTATATTCAGACCACACATTTTATATTAGAAGAATGCTAAGTAGCCTTCAGCTCAGATACCATGGACCTACTGGTTATTTTGATATATCCGTAAATAATTTTGGGCTTGGTTTAGAAGACGATCTCAAGCAATTAGAAGACTGAGGTTGTGGAACAGTCTTCCTTTAGCCTTCCTGGGGCAAAAATAACTAACCAGTTTTCAAAGGGAGCTCAGTAACTTTAAGATTCTGTTTGTATGACGACTCAGAGATAACAAGGGACTCAAGACCTAGAAGGTCTAGTAGCAGCAGCGTTACCTAGATAGCGTGTCAGCAAGGATGCTGTGCAGTTACGCATCCCTGCACTTACTGAGTTCTGTACAGCTAAGAGTCCTCATATTGCACAAAGTCTAAGTAAGTCTGAACATACTTTTGAATATATAATTACCATAATTTACAAAAAAGGGAGAATTTAGAAGATTTCCCAGGATGGTAAACAGCTATTTCAAGATTACATCGGCATGCAATTAAAGAAAGAGCCTAGAGCTTCCTGAACTGTGTTCATTTCCTCATTGATATCTCAGAGGAACAGATTAAAAGCCCCACTACAACCTTTTGACTATTTTTCTGAATTATCCAGAGTGAAGTCGAAAGTGTGGACTAGAGGCCCTAGTGCATTGCATTTAAATCAGTGGAATGGCACTGGTTTACATAGGCAAAGATGATTTGGCTCGCTGCTTTTGGAAGCACAAGTACTGTGTTTTGGGTTTTGCTTTTGCCTCTTATGAAATGTTCATCTTGCAGTCCTTGTGGATGAGAGATTTCAAATTTTATTTCTTAGTGGTTTTCTGCGTGGGGGGTGAGAAAGAATGGGTAGAGTTGAGGTTACTAGGAACTTTTCTCTCCCTTTCACTGTAAGAGGGCATTTTTTTAGCTTGCTTTGTGAAATTATTTTTTTGCAGTGTAGATTGTATGTTGGGCACTAACATGTCTCTTGAACATTAACATTTCATGCAAGAAAACGTCAGCTCAAAAGAGGACCTGCGTAGTTGTTCCATTGGTGTTCCCAGCAAAGATTCAGTACCAGGACTTTAATGTTTCACATATTATGCTTGCCAACTAATTAAACATTTTGAGTAATCTTGGTGGGTTTTTTTTTTTTTTTTGAAATATGGACAGATATACATAAAATCAGATTATATGGGGAAAAGCTGCTGGTTTTTAATGATGAACATATTTTATCCTTTTGTGGCTGCTCCACCCAACAATTACAGTCTTAATATAGGCAGTAGATGCAGTCTTCCTACTTGCTAACGTGCTTACTTTGTGGTTAGTGAGGCCTCTACTGTTGGGCTGTGTCGCTAGTGGAAGTTCTGAGGGCATGTTTAGAAAATGTTTGACGATAAGAACAGAAGTCTAAAATGAATTTAGATTAAGCTGTGGGTACTATGGGATAGCTGCCTATACGTTTTTCATTACTTGTGCGTATAAAACAGCATTGTGAAGCTGAATCAATTCAGGTAAATTAAAAACAAAAACAAAGTTTGCTTACCTACCCAACATTTTAATTGTGTCTAAGATGAACTCTTTGCTGCATTTGATATTCATTTGCCTCTCTCAACTCCCTCACATAACGCGCTCTGCACGTCCTCTGTCCTGGCCACTCATCCAACTCAGAGCTTCGTTCTCTCTGCAGCTGTCACCAGAAGAGGGCTATGTCTCTGCTAAGGAAGATTGCTTTTTCCGCACTGCCCAGTCACTTGAGGAGGAGGGCCCAGCTGATGCAGCCCTCTTCCGTGCTGAGCTGGCTCTGGTTAGTGGCCCAACTTACCAAAGATTTCCTTAAGTCCTTGCATTTTGTAATGAAAAAGGGTTGCTTTGTCACTGTTCATGCTTACTTTTTAGCCTTTACTGTCAATACACTATTCCTGCACCGGAGCCGGGGTGGTTCCCCGCATGGTGGAAGCTGGCATCTGGAGATTTTGTCTGTTTGCATGAGCTGTGGATCTGGCCTGTGATATCTGAGTTGCTGGAAAACATGGAAATATTATGCTGAGATTTTCAAAAGAGCATGGCCACCCACTTCTGCTTGCGTCCATTGAGCATCCCTTTGAAAATCTCACCTAGCGTAGAGAAATGTTCATGTACTTGTTCTATTAATAAATCTCTTCACCTGTATTTCATAAATACATCTTTCTACCATCCCAGATGATACCCTGAAAAGTTTGTGGAACTCTCTTTTTGCGTGTAAACCAGCCTTGTGAGGAGTGTTGTCTGTCTTCAGCAGTTGCCAACGCTTCATCCTGATAGTATTCTTTAGACTTCGGCATCAGTCAGTGATTATGAGATCTGCAAGGTTAAGGGGTGTTCACTTGTACAAATAATACAGTTTAACTGAGCTTTTAGTGCCTTATATAGCCCAGAAGTTACCAATTATAATTCAGATAAAAAAGACAAAGAAAACAGGACTTTACCAAAAAAACATGATTATTTGTTTTCTTGATCATTCATGCTGATCTGGGCCTGATATTGGAGTTTATTATGTCTCCATTTTGTTGGGGCATGAGTAGGGAAGCAGATTCTACTAAACAGAACCTAATGTATTAAAACCAAACAAACCAAAAAAATCCAGTCCAAACAAAAAAAAATCTTAAATGGATCCTCCTCAGTGAAAAATCTCTGAATTACCGATTCAAATATATTTGTTATCTTTTGACATATTTGCAAATGACAAGCTGTTTTTAGCAATGTACTTTTGAACGAGACTGCCTGTCTTCTCTGTACCAAAATACCTCAGTTGGTATTTTGGTACAATAGTTAGGCTACTAGTTTTTTCAGAATAACAGCATTTGACTTCTTCCATTCATTGAGAAGAAATATGAAGAAACCAGGTTATCAGAAATATCCTTTAATTAAAAATATGTGGAAGAGGTCAGATAAAACTTAAGGACATAAAAAAATGACCTTCTATGTGTAACTCATATAAACATTTTTAAAATAATGGTCAAGAATAGTGAAAATGCATGGCAGGTAACAGTATGGTTGAAGCTGTCGAAACTTGCTGTCTAACTTGAAACATGAAACTGAATGTGGAATTACACAGCTGAGAATGAGCTTTCCAAGTGAGCCCACAAGGAATTATTTTTCATCGATAAATCTACGCTCAGATTTTAAAGATCTTCCCTCTTTTTGCATGGTCTTCTTTTTTTTTTTTTTTTTTTTT